CAGGCCTATACGGGATTTGAACCCATGACCTTTGCAATGCTGGAGCAGTGCTCTACCAACTGAGCTAACTAGCCAGGTTGGACTGAATATACCTCTCCGTAGTGAATCTGGCAGTTTTTGGTAACGAACACGAGCCACCACGACTAAAATCTTAGCTGCAAGTACGAAAAACACAGAGTCCTTACGTTTTTTGTAGAGGTGCTCGAGTACTTCTACAAATAACTTAGAACTGTGCAGAACCCATCCATTTTTGTCCCCTGCTTAGAAATTAATTCTAACTTGAATCACATTTACACAGTTCAGTATAAATGCGTGATTAAAGCCAAAACCTGGCAGTGGACGATGATGTCACTGATCGTCACAGACTCAGTGTTCTTCAAGATTACATTCAAAGTTGTTTATTTCCTAAACTTCAAAGTTCACGTAGCCGAGGAGCCATGATCCGCGGATCAAGAACATTAAAATACCGCCGGATTACTGAAGAACAATGCTCTCTTTAAAACAATAAGCCAGTGACTTGAGAATATCATTCTATCATGGAGGAAAACGATATTGATTTCTGGATCAAAGTTCATAGACGTCCCTCTTCTGAAAGGATGGGCAATAAACAAAGAGAATCTACTCGAAAAATTATGTCTCAAGGACAGAATAATTATCTTGTAAAGGTCGCTCGATTTTTACATTGAATGTTGCGATATAAAAACTTGCAAAAGGCAGGGGTAAATTATTAGATTATAAAGAAAAGAGAGGCATTACCATGATGTTAAAATTTTTCTCTGAATATGTCGATTTTCTACTAAGCTAGGGTGGAAAGTACTTTCGAAGCTATTTGACGTTTACATTGAAAGTTAGGATTGAAAATACGCAATATGCAGGATTCAACTATTATAAGCTATGACGACGAGATTTCTACACAATCCTATTAGACATTATGCCTTTAGTTCTTGGATATAGACGACGATAGGAAAAATAATCAAAAAAAAAAAAGTTCCTACTTGACTGATAAAATCTTTCATCGAAGATGAGCGAGACTTGTTGTGCTTTGGTTGTGTCCATGCACAAAGTAAAAAGTACCAATGATTCTGGTAGATCTAGGCATATTAAATACTGAAATTAGAACGCGTCTTTTGAAGGGATCTGTCAACCGAGAAGATCCTTTTCCACAGTCTAAGATAACGACAATTGATAGAGCAAGTATACTGGAGATATTGAATAACCATCGCAAAGACGTACCTCTTTTGCTTAAGCTGGAATGAACCGAATAAAGAAATACTACGAACGGCACCAAAGACTGACCTATCAAATATAGAAACTGCATTGATTAAGATCATCTGAGAGTCATTTGCTGGCGTTTCACGGCCATCGATTTTGATGTTAAGATAACACTTATTGATGGGAACCATTAGGGGAACATCAACATAGCCTTCATAAGGACATTGATCTCTGGGGAGAAGTTCACCGACACCCCGCCATTGACATTATGGCATGGCCAATAAAAAACTAAAGCTGCTCCAAACAGGAAGAACATGGTGTCTTGATATTTTGAGCTGTGAAGATTTGGGCATTTGTATCGTATAGAATGTGAAATCTCTTCAAGTGGCGATTCACTTCTCAGTAATGGTCGAAAGAACACTCAATTATTTCACGTGGAAGTTTTCTGTCTGATAACAAGCAATAGTCAGGGTTAAAGAACTAAATTATGGAGCCATTTTGGTCAGATAAAAGAAACTCAGTCAATTTTGGGGTCAAGCATCTCATTGCAATTTTCAGAAGCTTTCTTTTATAACACAAGAAGAACGCATTTTTTTTGGCGCCATTTAGTCGTAATTAAACCTCAATAGCCAATATATTTTCTAAACTTACATTGTTCCTATAAGTAATTAATTAAATTTCTTAGTCACCCACCAAACCAAGCATTGCAATAAAAGCGCCAACACCCAAAGCAATAAGTCATTTCAACTTTGCCTGTGCTTACGACTCCCTGTAGGTAAGATTTCGTATTTTTTTACCTTGTGCTTTTATCTTCTAAAACTCTTAACTTCAGGATTTCTGCAGAAATTTGCCTATTAACGGCTAATTCGGAAATATCAGTTCGATCGGAAAGATTTCGATTCATGTTTCCATCAATCATATCTTTAGGGATTGCCGATAATCGGGAGTATTTTTGCATAAGTGGGTTTCTTTAGGAATTCTTAAAAAAGTTGATTTCTTCCAACTGAAGTTAAAACCAAGCAGACGACTGGCCAGTGTCCTAAGCGGCTAAATTTTAAACTATTGAGGTGATCACTCCTTTAAATTTAAAAAAGTGTAGTACCGAATGAACCTTGACTGTATACCAGCAATTACCTTCAAAGTTTGAATGTATTAGTTAATTGGTGTGCATCTTTCCAAACTACAATTTACTCTGTGTTTAATACTGATATCAAGAAACTTCCTTACTCCGCTAGACACTATGGTTGAAGACAGCTGGACAAAGTTGGCCAGTAGGCTATTTCATATTTTCAGTTTAAACCATATTTCGTTTGGATTTGGCACGAAAGAGCTAATAATAACAAGGCTTGTACTGATTGTCATAAAGAATATATTGTTTTCAAGAATACTGGAAAATTTCTGCCCCCTTCTCCTCCTCCTTCCCCCCTTTTCAAACAAAAACGCATGTAGGGTCAATGTGGACAAGACAGAATCGTTTAAAAAAGTGATAATCTACTTAACTCCAGTCAACCCTGCTACTCTCCAGTATCTTGCTTTATGACAAAAAGAATCAAATTGTACACGAGATCGAGCCGAGTCAACATTAAAAAATTTGATATGGTGCAAGCAATGTTCCTAAATACGATCCTAACTCAGTTTAACAAAAATTTGCTCCAAACATGCCCAACTCTCTTTTCAAAATAGATTGTGCCTTGCTAAGTCAATTCTAGTGATAGAGGACAAACATGACAGTGTTCTTTAAGATTTTTTTCAATGTCGCTGGAGCATGTGATCCATACTAAAACTTCAAAATACAAAGCACCCTTTCTCCGCTTAGAACAATGAATTACAAAGGATGAATTACAAAAGAGATTAGTGCTCTTATCAAAAGCATCACTACGTGATTTGAGCTTATCATCTTTTTGAAAAGCAATCACATTAATATATGGAACAAAGTTGAACCCACTTTGGTAAGGGCTGGCGACAAACAACAAAATCTGCTCTAAAAATAACTTCAAGCATCAAGGTATCTTAATATTCTTAAGCTCTTCCTTCGATTGATTAGTCTAGCTGTGTATATTTTGGCATTTACATTATACCAAAATGAATGGTAATTTCTTCAAATGTCAATTCACTGCTTAGTAATGGTCGAAAGGACACATAATGTATTTTACATCGAAGTTTTCCTTATGAAACGGAACGGGCGATCAGCCTAATTTAGTGGAGCCATTTCTGCCAGATATAAGAGATTGACTAAAGAGTTCTCTTTTTAGCTTTAAGAAACTTTCTGTCGTAACACAAGAGGAATGAAACTTCTGCTTTTTGGCGCCATTTATCAAAATGAAATCGTGGTAGCCGATACATTTCCTAAACTTGTATTATTCCTATCATTAAGTCATCCACCGAACCAAATAATCTGAACGCCAACTCACCGTCGTTTCATCTTTGCGTGCACTGACGACTCCTAACAGGTAAGACTTGAAAATTTTTTCACTTTGTGCTTTTATCTTTCGAAGATCACACCTAACTTCAGCAGAGATTGGCAGAGCTTGTTTGCAAATAGCAGTGCTATCGAAAAAAAACTTCGAATCATGGGCATCAATTCAATAAATCAAATTTAAGCATGTTTTAGTTGGTTTTTGATGGTGCTTTTTCAAAAGTGGAGTTTCCACCAACTGAAGTTGCTCCAAACAAACGACTGGCTCGGAAACGTATTTAGCAGTCGTCCTTTCAAATATTGTGGTGATCACATCTCATAAATTACGATAGCTCACTTTACACCATCAGCTTGAATGTGCGAATGTATGAGTTAGTGCGTGCCTTGCCGACTGGTAATTTACTTTGTGTTTTGATTCTTACTCATCAACTGATTTCCTGGCTCCACTGAAAAATAATAGTTCGTGAAAGCTGAAAACAGTCAGCCAGTATGCTAGTTTTATTTTTCAGTTCAAGAAATAACGTTTGATTTGGTCTAAAAAGAGTATGAACTAGTAAGACTTTTTAAGATTACCATGGCAAATGAGACTGTAGCCAGTTTTAAGGAAATTGGACAAGTTCTTCCCAATTTATCTACCCCATCCCTATTCCCTACTCCTAACGAAACACATGCACGACAAAAATAAAAAAATTAAATGTTTGAATAAGCAAATAAGAAAGAAAGATTGAAAAAGCTATTCTTCAGTGTGGCGTTTAATGATGAAAAATTCAAATTGCTCACAAGCCGAGTTAAACAAAAAAAATAACAAATCGTGCACGAAGTGTAAGAGTTAAATGAAATTTAGCTCATAATATGCCTAATTAGATTTTTCGTCAAAGTAAAATGATTCTTCTCGCAAATGCTCGCAAGGATAATTTTTATCTGAAATGCTGCCCAAACATGCCCAGCCATCCGTTCAAAACAGATCAGTTGATTCATCCCTTAAACGCTCCCAATAATAACTGTTATCTTATCACAACTCCATCAGTCATTAAGCTAAAGTTTAGTCATGTTTATGTCCTGATGCATGCTTTAAAATTATTAGATCAACTGCTAAACATTTTACATGTATAATATCTTGACACGGTTCATCTGAGCTCGACAAGATGCCAATATATGTCTTTCAAACTGGCTTTTTCGAGATTTGTAAGACTAAAGACTATCAACAGTAGGTCTTTGCTGAAGGATGGAAACATTTTTCCAACAATTATGTAAGACAATTTGTGCGAAATGAAAGTTGTCAGCTTTAAAATATCGGTTAACAGCAAAATCATGAACAGTACAAGTCAACCATTGGTTTATTTTTAGTTCGATTTTAAATATTCAGGTTCATTGTGGAAAGACTGAGCGCTTTTCTGGCAAAGGAAACCGTAGCACAAGGTGCGTCACGCCTCCAAATTCATAAGCAAACTCAATACTTTTTATTTCGGGGCTACGATTATAAATCTCTCAACTGCAAACTTGATTGAAGCAAATTACAACATTTTGGAATCGGCTTTTTGTGAAACTCCAAAACTTTGAGTGCTTCTTAACCTGAAATAGGGATTTCTTTGAAATTCTTTGAATTCAACTGGATAATTTGCAGTTCGAAGTGTCGGCAAAATGGGTCTTACGAGCAGTCACCCATATCAAAACATCAGGCAGAAGAACCAGTTTACGTAGAAAAACACCAAATTTTTTTCTTTCTCTTTTACGGGCATAAGAAGTTATAATTTTTAATGCGAACACTTAGGGTATCAAAATTATCAAACAAGTTTTGTTGTTTTAGTTTGGCTTTTAATTCTCCAAACCAGCAAACAAAAACTACATATTCTGATCTGTTGAAAGAAATAACTTCTGCATGATCTTAGACAGTAAAATTTATAAGTTTGCCATCATTGTTTTTTGATTGAGAAAAAAAAAATGCAAACTAGTTTAGACATCCCGACTAATAAAAATAGCCTTCCTGATGAACAGTTGCTACCAAGATTAAATAAAAGGTTTAGTAATGCATCTCTTTCCCTTACATTATCATTTTTTTTTCCTGGAGTCCTTGAATACGGCCTTGCTAAAAGCGTTTCCAAAAGGAAAGGCTAAATCTTAAACTGCCAGAATCGCTTTGAGGCTTGCTAGATGTGGCTAGTCTTCTTTGTTTTCAATCAAATGAATTTGTGTTTTTTCCCTTTAGACATCTCTCCGGACTTCACATAAAGCTCCTGTGCGATCATGAAGACCCTTTGTGTTGTCATACTTGCAGCGATGATGGTCATGGTGACGTCACGCGCACGTTATCCGGAAAAACTGGAATCACCACGGCAAGGTATGGTGCACTTGGGACTCCTGTCCAACAGACATTTGCAAATAAGTTGTCTGTGAGGGTTCCACCCCCTAAAGTTAAAGAATAGAGAAGCATGCAGGCTCTGACACCCTAAACAGTCCATTTTGTTTCTTGTAAGCTGCTAGTTTTATTGTAGAATCCTAAAAACGCTTCAAACCCCAATCTTGAAAGAAAACAGAACAGGTTTGCGGGCCCGTTAAGTTATCGGGACCTTTGAGGAACGCGCCCCTCTGGGCCCTTAAACTTTTACCCAGTTAAATGAGATATCCGTTATATTGCAAAAAATATATACGTCTATCTGGTTTTAAAAGTGAAGTATTTGTCTACATGTATATGTAATATTTCGATTTTTAAGTTCTCTGCGGCGAACTTACACATAACAAATCCTGGAGCTCCTTCTCAAGGTCCTCGCATGAGTATAGGCCACAGTCAATATTTTACAGAAATAATAATAAAAAAATGTGTTGTTTCTCGGCGCATTTAATCAAAACACCAAATTGTTTCATCTTCAGCACACCGTAGCGCTTTTGAAGCACTGTGGGATGCAATTCAGAGAAATGAAGATCCTAGCTGTGACTATGCTGGCTGCTACGATCCCTGCTTGAGGCGAACAGGAAAACCATCGTCATGTTCTCATTGCGGTTCCGATTGCGATTAAACTATATCAAAATGAGTGAGTAATAAGTAAACTAACCATATTAGAGAACTGGGATAGCCTAAATCTATCTATAACTTCAGGTGAAATTGGTAATTAGTTACTGAGAAACGAACCTCGCGCCGTCTATGAAAAGTGATGCAATATACGCGATAGTTTCCAGACAAATGAACTCTCTACACATAAGAATGCTGGGAAAATGAGATGCGTCTAGTACATGGCCAAGAAAGAAAAAATGTCCGAACTTTTCATCAAATACATTGCTTTTTTTAGGGGGATGAAGATCTATGAAGCAATGATCCAATGAAAGATTCTTCCTCTAAAATGTGCGCCGCTATTAATGTGTGACGTTGTAGCTCAATGGGTAAAACTGTCCAACGAGTATTTGGAAGGCACAGGTTTGGATCCCATTCAAACCTGAATTTTTTCAGGCTTTTTTTCAGAGACTGTTGCTCATCCACAGGGATCATTGCTCCACTTAGGAAAAAAAATGTCTGTCGTTTTTAGTTTATTCCGGGATATTAATTGGATAATTTATGTGCTCTGTTCTCATAGGTGGCTGCAATTGTATCCATGGACTACGGACTTCTGGACAAGTGGTTATTCCTTCTTAGCGTATTCAGTGTAGTACATTACCTTATTCATTAGAGTGTCTACGTGTTGCCGTAGAGAAAACCAAACGTTTTGCACAGTTTCAAGATTTTGCATTACATCTTAAATATATGATTACTATCGTTATAATGATACAAAATAGGCATTAGCTATTTTGCAATCAAATAGTTCAGTCTAAGACGTCATACCAGGTCACGGTACGGAGAATTGTGCTAATAACTTCGAGCTTTAATCCTGCAAGTATGGTTAGCAAATGCGATGCCCCTACGCACGAACCTACGTGAAATCTAACCCTAGCCCCTAACAACCCTAACCCTAACAACCCTAACCTCTAAACCCTTCCCCTAAACCCCTCATGCACTTACGCTGATTTAATTATACCCTAAAAGACTCCTCGTGCACCTACGCTGATTTAATTATACCCTAAAAAAACCCCTCATGCACCTACGCTGATTTAATTATACCCTAAAAAAATCCCTCGTGCACCTACGCGGTATGAATATTTAATTAGTTTTCACGCGGCCGAATCGCTCGGACCCAGACCGCGCGGAAGGTGCCAGAAAGGCCAGCTATACTACTCTTAATGTTTTTATTTACATCATGACCTCATCATTGCAGTAATTACAGTTGGTGCATCTTTGAAAATTGTGCCAGAATAGTTGAATTATTAGTTTCAAGTCTGTATAAATCTTCTCCATCTATAAGCATGTCTGTTCCGTTATAGTTTCTCCTATTTTCTCTGTTATGTTTATGGGAAGAATTTGAGAGGTCATTGACCCATTTTACGACTCTGGGTCATGAGATCTGATCAGCGTTTAATTCAACTTGATATTAGCGGAGCTCGCAGCGCGCGAAGCGCTCGCAGCGTAGCCCCCTACATATAGAAAATGGTGGTAAAATGAAAAGAAATCTATTTAGGCAAAAAAAATTTGCTCGCTTCAACCAAATTTGACAGGTTATGACCGTTCGTCCGTACGCACAAGGTGCATGCGTGGCCAGCTACATTGCGGGCTCGAAACTAGCCAGGGAAATGAAGAAGGTAATCCGCACGGGTGATTGTGTGCGTAACTGAGAAAACCCCATTCATGTGCACTAGGAATCTCAAATAAAAATAATAAAGTGCACATAACTGCGTGCCGATCTTGGATGCAGCACATCGCAGGCACACAGTTAGGCATTACACTACGGCTTTATGTGGGCTTGAAGATGAGAGGCCGCGGAAGCAAAGAAAAGAAAACTTCATTGATTCTCGGTAATTTTCAGGGCTAATCACCGTACTTCTGAAGGAACAATAATTGTAGATAAGACCGTTTCAACCGGACGAACTCATTTTAGTTCAAGTTTGCAGTGAAAGGGTTTGAGTGAAAATAGGCAGGAAAGAGAGAGGAAGTAATGGGTGAGAGCGAGTCGGAAAAGCGCAAAAGAGAGTTAGAAATTATTTGGAAAAATGAGCAGAGACACGGCGAGATGAAGGAGAAAGAGGTCATGGAAAAGGTCCTGGCAAATATCTAGCATCCGCGGCTCATTGCTCGAACAACATTTCAGACTGTTTATATTAATTTCTCCCAATTATTTCGTTTGGAATGTTTCTTTCAATCGTGACGTTCAAGGAAAATAAACTAAATTACGGATTATGTTTTCGGGAAATCTGGACAAGTGTTTTTGCGTAGATAGTTTTCAAATGATAGCGAACGGAGGACGTAAGCTTCCATCATTTGCTCCTAGGTTAACTACCACAGGCTTTACTTGTTATTCCTCTTTCAAAAAATCGCACTTTGGTCGATGATGCGGGGTTTTTACTTTAGGAACTGAGTTAATATAATGGCCTTTCCGAAAAGTGAACTAAAATGAAGTTGAGTCAGTGATGTTTCTGTTCACAAGATAATCTGATTTTGACAGTATAGTCATGCGAGAATCCGTCAAACCTATGAGAAATTAAGGACCGCATAAATGTGATGCAAACAAAAACGCGCGGGTTTCATGAATTTAGTCCTACTGTGAAAAGAGTGAACTGCATTGTTGGGACATGGTAATTTCTCATCGCTCTGTTTTCATGCTTTCCATTCGATTTGTTCAAACTTCAGAAAATTGTTTGTCTCACTAAAACATGCATCATATTGGGCCACTTTCTATTCGCCTAACATCTCGAGTAAAAAGTACTTGATGTTTGGGTTATGATGAATACGCTTGTGATACAATAATTTTCTTCCAAGGCTGTAAACGGAAGAAACAGTCTCTGAAACTGATGGTCATCGCATTTTGCAAAAAGCATCGGAGCAGTGAATGCGCATTGAAACGGATCGAGTCCTGACATTTAATTGTGCTTACAAGAACCACATGGTAAGCGATATAACTGTTGTTTACAGTTTCAAATTCAAAAGCAATTTTGCGCAAAATCGCATCATTGAATAAAATCTCGCATTCTGATTGGTTAACAAAGCGAGGTATTTAGCGTGGAATTGCGAATTGAAAAGTGAAATTGTTTCGCATCTACGTAAGCATAACAATTTTAAGTAATGCTGTTTCCTTTTTTATTAATTTTTATTCAGTATGCGATTCAAGGAAAATTCATTACTTGACGAGGGAATTCCGCATTAAATTACACGCGAAAACCGATATCGCACGAATCGCGAACCGATGAGTGCGATATCGGTTTTCAAGTAATGAATTTTTAAAGTAATGAATTTTCCTATATTATCAGTTTACTATTCATGAATACTTTTATGTATCCCACCAGTTATTTTGTGTTGAATTCATTGAGTTACGCCCTCAGATTTTTATAGGTTATCATGAATAATAAATTTCCTTAAAATCCGTATCGACACCACAAATAATTAAGCACACTTCTAGCAATTTTTTTTCATGTTATCAGTTTACAATTGACGAACGATGTCCATAAACTGATTGAATATTCTCTGTTGAATTCACTGATTTACACACTCGCAATTTTGCAATTGATTATGAATGATAAATTTGTCTACAGCACAAATGAAGCACATTTCAAACTTTTCATACGATTTTAGATTTTATATCTGTGTGTGCCAGTCAATGATCAAATTCTCAGTGAAAAGATATGGCACAATGTTTTAACTACTACGAACAGTAGTTTTAAATTCCATCTTGAGGTTTTTGGCATTTACTGTCTGAAAATTAGTAAATGGCATTGCTTTTCATCCTTGTAAGGAGGTATTGCACATTTCTATTTTAAAACCTAAATCATGAAGTCAGCTTAATTTCAATATTATTGAAGCCTCATTCCATACAACAACACTTCACTGAAGAATAATACCATTTATTTGCTGTCCTTCTAATACAAATGCTGTTCTTTCAAAGCTGAGATACAGACGTTTTCAAAGCTGTCAGATATTATCTGAAAAGCATAAGAAAGAATATATAACACGCTTTCACACACTGTCACACTGAATAAATATAGTTTCTTGGGTTTTGGAAGGTGTAAAATACCCACTCTGCGGAGTCTGCGCCACAGGTGTAAAACCTGAAAGAATCCATAAAGTTTGTCATTAGTGGAATTTCTCTTCACAGTTTCACTCCGAATCAAGCATTAAGGTCGTAAGAATAAAGGAAATGATCAACAACTAGTAGAAGCTTTTGATTTTTAAACAAATTCTCCCTAGCAGCACCTCAGCAAATATGCAGAGAATAGTGTGGAAAATATGCATACTCATGTTAGGGTGGGGAGGGTAAAATATGCATACTCATGTTAGGGTGGGGAGGGTAAAATCCAGTTTCAACAGCCTGCATTTTGGAAAACCAAAAAGTAATTGAACACAATATCCAGTCAGAGAAAGTGGAAATTATGATACGACAATGCAATGTTCATGTAAATGTCATTGCATCAATCAGTTGGAAACACAAATAAAAACACTTCTTCACAAATTACCTCCGCTCTTAACTCACTCAATTTAATTTTCTGCTGTATCAACATTTTTCACAGTTCTTATTGATAAATAGCTTTCTCATACTAACCCAGAGTTGGGTACGTGCTATGTACAGCAATGTTTACAGCTTGATCGGATCCCCTCACTCTCGTTTTCAGCTTGGCAGTTTTGAAAACATGGTTGGCGACAACCAGGTTCTCTCTTCAAAAGAAAATTCCTTGCCTCTCTTCCATCCATTCGTATTTTATGATTGGTCTTCTGTTCTGTAAAAGTGAAGCATTTATGAAAATTCTCTTCACTATTTCTATCTTCACTCTAGCAAAGAAAAAGTGAAGTGTACAAAATATCTCAAAACCAGGAGGGTTCATTTGACATTTTTAGAATATTGATATAATTATTTTATACAAAATCTGCAGCAGCCAGACAGGGAGAATTAGGAATCAGATCTTGTGAATCAAAAGAGATAGCAAAGGATGGACTGCATGTACCTCTCCGCAGTGACTCTGGTAGTTTAGGATAACGAACGCGCGATGCCACCACGAAAATCATCGCTGCAAGCACAATAACACAAAGAGTCTTCATGATTGCCAACGTATCTTCAAGAGCTGGAGTGAAATCTAAAAGGAAAAATTAGACAATTAATTTGTTGAATTAGTAATAAATAATTACCGTAACGGTGATTCTGTATTTAGTCAGGCGATTTTGTTAGAGTAGAAACAGTCAGAGGTCTTCTTCCTTAGGGGCTTCCAGAAAGCTTCAAAGGTGCAAGACCGCATTCGATTCTAGTCTCCGAACCAAGCTTTGCATAGAATAAGAAGAGCTGTTGTGCGGCGTGTTAGCTCAATTTTAGGAGGTATCGAGGTATAATTGTTTGTGAGTATTGTTAACTGGTTCATGAAAATTAATGCTGATAATCTTGTTGGTGACACTTAAGGATAATAAAAACTATTATCCCGTTTAGGTATGTTGTTTGTTGATTGAGTTAGAAAAACTCTCGCGAGCATTTGCGGGGCGAATCATTTTACTTTGACGGAAAATCTAATCAGACATATTTTGAGCAAAATCTCATTTAACCCTTACACTGTACATTTCGTCCATGATTAGTTGCATTTGTGTTTGACTCTGCTTGTGAATAATTTAAATTTGTTATTAATAGACTATAAGCACCACACTGAATAACAACTTTTTCGAGCTTTCTTTTTCATTTCTCTATTTAAACATTCTATTTTCTCATTTTTTTCATGGATATGTTTTGCTCGGAGTAGGGGAAGGGAGTAGATAAAATGGGTAGAAATTCAATTCAATATTCTTAATACTGGGTACAGCCTCATCCGTCGTGGTAACTGAACAAGGCTTATCAATTCATACTCTTTGTCGCCCAAATAAAACGTTATTTCTTGAACTGAAAAATAAAATTAGGTTACTCGCTGGCCGTTTTCAGCTTTCTCCAAACATTATTTCTAGTAAGCCAGGAAGCCAACTTATATAAGTATCAAAACTTAAAGTAAATTGCCGGCCGGCAAGGCATGCAGCGACTACTATAATGTACATCCAAGCTGATGGCTGGACAGTGTAAAGTAAGCTATTTTAGTTTATGGGATGAGGTCACCATAACATTTGAAGGAACGACTGTTAGAAACATTGGCCAGTCGTCTGTTTGGTACAGTTTCATTTGGTAGAAACTCCACTTTTTAAAAAACTCCAATTAAAAACCGTCTCATCCTTGAATTTCATTAACCTAATTGAAGCCCTCCATGACTCGAAACTTTTTTCGATAGTACTGCTCTTTCTGAGCAAAATCTTTGCCAATCTCTGCTGAAATCAGGTGTAATCTTTGAAAGATAAAAGCACAAAGTGAAAAAATTCAAATTCTTTCCCGCAAGGAGTCGAAAAGGCTTACCTCTTGGGGAGTTGGCGCGCAGACTGTTTGGTTCGGTGGGTACCTGACAGATTTACTTAATGATAGGAACAATGCAAGTTCAGAAAATGTCTTGTATGTAATGATTTCATTACGATTAAATGGCGCCAAAAAATATGAAATTGCATTCTTCTCGTGTTATGACAGAAAGCTTCTTAAAATTACAAAGAGAGGCCTGGCTCTGAAATTGATTCAATCTCTAAAATCTCTCAGGCAAAAAAGGCACCTTAAAGTAGCTTGATCGCCCGTTCCTATTGCATATTTTCAAATAAAAAACCTCAACGTAAGATAAATTATGTGTCCTTTCGATCATTACGGAGCATTGAATTGACATTTGAAAAGACTACCTTTCATTTTGATGTGAAGCAAATGCCAATTCTACACAGCTAGACCAGTGAATTGAAGGAAGAGCTTAAAAATGTCAAGATACCCTGATGTTTTAGTGCAAATTTTGTTGTTTATCGGCTATCCTTGCCAAAGTTCGTTCTGAAACTTTGTTCCATAAATTAATGCAATGTATTTTCCCTTTCAAAACGATAAGCTCAAGTCACTCAGTGATACTTTTAATTTGTAATCTGTTTTAACTTGTAATCTGTGCATGTGAAGTAATTCATTGGTCTACGCGGAGAAAGGGTGCTTTGTAAATTTTGAAGTTTTAGCAAGGATAACACGCTCCAGCGACTTTGAAGAAAAATCTTGAAGAACACTGACATCTTTGTCCTCTACTATTAGAATTAACTTAGCAGGGCACATTCGCTTTTGACAGGAGAATTGGGCGTGTTTAAACCAACATTTTGTTGAGATTATGATCATATTTGGGAACATTGGAGGGACGAATCATTTTTTTTGAAGGGAGATTTAATGAAGCACGTTGTGAGCGACATTTAGTTTAATGCTTGCAGTATGCCCACAATTCTTTTTTTATGTTTTCATCAATAATTTGATTGTCATAAATCAAGACACTGAAGAATAGCAAGGTTACTCCGTTTTGCCGATGTTGACCAAGCATTCGTTTTTGTTTGTGTCTAGCGAAGCAAGGAAGTTTGTTGATATAATTATTAAACACAGAGTAATTTGCAAAATGGAAAGGTACACGCCAATTCATTAACACAGTCGAGGTTCAGTATTACGCTTGTTTAGAGTAAGAGGAGTGATCACTGCAATATTTGACAAAGCAGCCGCTTGAGGAACGGCCAGTCGTCTGCTTGGTTTAGCTTCAGCTGGTAGAAGCAACTTTTTAAAGAGTTCCGATAGAAACCCACTTATGCAAAATGCTCCCGCTTTTCGGGACTCTTTGAAGATATGATTGATTGAACCATGAACTGAAATATTTCCGGTCGAGCTTGTCTTTTTCAAAAAAAAACTGTCTGTTGATTCCTGAAGAAATCATGCAGACACAATTTCTGTAGAATTTATCACGCAGATACGGTTTTTGGAAGATAAAAGCAAAGATTAAAAGAAAAAAAAAATACAAAATCTCAGGCCTGAAGCGGGTTGAGAACACAAGCAAGTTTAAATGACTTATTGCTCCGGCATTTGAAGAGATCTAAATTTCTGTGCGATACAAACTGTGCCCAAGCCTTCACAGCTCAAAGTAATAAGAACCCATATTCTTTCTGTTGGAAATAATCTCAGGGCACGTTTCAATTTTTTACTGGCCATGCCATAACGTTTTTCAATCATTTATTCTTAAAGAGGGATTAAGAAACATTTAAGACAGATCAAAAGTCTAATTATCCTTTAAACTACTTCAATGGCTGTCTAGAAATGCTTACAGATTTGAATGTTTATAACGTAAACCGAAGTAAATAAATTGTTGCTTGTTTTGAACTCCAACTTTCATTACTTAAAACGAAACAAAACAACCAGATCAGATGATTCATCTCTTATATGCTCCTAATAATAACTCGGTTATCTTATCACAAATCCATCAGTCATTAAGAGAAAGTGAAGTCATCTCTTTGTCCTGATGCATTCATTAAAATTAATTGCTTGACCCCTTGTCTGAGCTCGATAAAATGTCAAACAAGTCTATATATGTCTATCAAGCTGGTTTTTTAAGTTTTGTTTGATTTGGGATGGAATCCTTCGATTGGCTGTTACACGCATCTAAATTTAATTTATCAGAACTAACATTAGTAGATCTTTGCTAAAATAGGGATTTCTTTGAAATTCACTAAATTCAACTGGATAATTTACATTTCAAAGTGTCGGCAAAATGGGTCTTCCGAGCAGTCACCCATAGCAAAACATCAAGTAGAAGGGCCAGTCTGCGTGGAAAACCTTGTGAGTTTTCAAAATTGTCCAAAACTGCGCTTTAAAATCAAGGTTGACTTGAAGGCAGCCTTGATTTGAATGTTATCTTCCTAGGTTACCTTTAGAATCAAGGTTGTCTCAAGAATGAGCCAGAATTCCCATTAATAATTGCTTCGGAACAAACTGAAAATTCATATATCCTTGCTAATAGCTAGTTTAGAGTTAATGCTCAGTATATAGCTTATTTCCTATCGTGTAAGAGATGTTTGTTTGTTTGTTTGTTTGCTTGCTGAYYRG